GCCTTATTTTTTGCCATTTCCTTCAAAGCAGCCCGAACTTCTTCTTTTATCACCATAGTCTCTTGTTCATATGTTGTTTCATGAAATTTTTCTGTGTCTTCCAATTCCTTTCGATACAGTGACTCAGTATATTCTCTCCATCTTCTTTTAATACTTCGTGGATCATTTAACATTCTGCTGAAAGCATCCTTGATTACAGCAACTTGAGGTTTGAATTTGTCCTTCAGTTCCTTGAGCTTAAGATATGCTGAGCGAGTTCGGCCCTTTTTTAACATGGAGAATGGAAATTCCAGAACACACCCTGCAAACCTATGCCTAGACCAGGAAGCTGTTGGCCGACCAGAGTACGGGAGGGAGCACTGCGCCGTCTTAGTAGCAGCAGATGAATTTAAGGTTCTCACAGCTTCGTGTGAAGTCACTCATGTGCTTGCGAAATGCTTCTTAGTTTAAAATCTGCTTTGCCTGACAGTATAGCTAATAGCCAGCTTTCTTGGGTTAATATTTGATAGTCCAGCTGTTTTTTATACTTTTTTCTATGTTCTAATGTTTCAGGTATATCTCTTGTCAGTAAATCCTTGGGCTCTGTTTCATTTTGTTTGTATCCAGTCTGCCAGTGAGTGTCTAACCCTGTCTGTGCTTAAAGTCACTGCTGTTTTCTCTGAGCTCCGTTTCCATTCTGCTCTGTCTGCCTCCCGTTTTTCTTTTCTTTCTTGTTGCCACCGTCTGGGTGAATAAAACGTTTTAACTATTCTTTTCCACCCAGGCGGTCAACCTAGCCTGCGGCCCACAGTCCCATTCCTGCTGTGTGCCCCACGGACTGGGAGGGTCTCACACAGACCCCCGTGCAGCCGTATTCTCAGCACGACTGCTCCCAGACCCACACGTGGCCATGCGCCAGGTGCCCGTCAGCTGGTGAACGTGGCCTGTTCACTCAGTGGCGTATTATTGCTCAGCCCTGGGCAGGGACCAGCTCCCAGCTCCTGCCGCCTGGGGCCGTGTCAGGACCACGGTGCTGAGTGAGCACAGCCAGGTGTCACGGGCTGTGGGGTCCGCACCCCGAAGGACCCGAGGGCCGCACAGAGGCCAGTGCAGCCCCACTGATCCACTGCGCAGTCGCTAGGGGACAAATCCTCAGGAACAGGTGGTTCTGCTGGCTGCATGACGTGGTGGCCAGTCAGCGTCCTCAGCCGTCCACCTGAGCCTGTCGACGAGTTTGATGATAAGTCTTTTACCAAGATTAGAAGAAACCCATGTCCTCAGAGCACAGACGCGACAGTGGGTTGAAGTTCCCAGAGCAGGAGAGAAGGGCCTCGGAGCAGAGGGCTTCAGCCTCCCTGGGGAGTGGACGCTCGGTGACCGGCTCACACTCAGCATGCTCAGAGATGCCTCTGTTGCACGTGCATGCCCCATCAGTTTTGCCAAAATGAGATAAAGATGTAAAAATCGGTGTACGGACCGGAAGAAAGGCCAAGTGATGGCCAGCTTCCTGGTGGCAGCCCCTGGGCCCCTGTAGAGTCCAGCCCTCCTCGGCCATGCTCGGCCACCACGCAGTGTCCACCGGCGGCACGTTTGGCGTTTCAGATGACCTGTAAGCGGGCCGCGTGGTGGAGCGGTCCTGGTGGTCGTGCAGCCCACCACCGGCAGCGGCTCCCCTGAAAGGTGATGGACAGTGTCCTGTGGTTTACAGCCTGGAAAAGCCACCAGGGGGCAGCTGCGAGTCGGTTCCATGGTGAGACACAGTGTTCAGAACGCTTGCCTGGGGCCCTTAGGATGGGCGGTTTGAGCCCCTCGGCCTCTCCAAGGAATGAAGATGAGATGAAGATGAGGCAGTCAGCTCTCCCAAAGGCACACAGCCTTGAACGCCGCAGGGCAGTTGGCTGGGTGACCTTTTCTGAAATGGATCTCACGGTCTGTCTTCTGAACACTCGATTCGATTCGACAGTGGTGGTTTGGGTTTCTGTACAAATAACCACTTAGCAAACCAGGGACAAGGCTGGAGTTGACCTTGGACAACCTGGCTGCTGAAAACGTGGGAGCGTGGCTCTTCCCTGACACACACACGTGCACACGTTCATATACATGTGAACATGGGGGTACGTGCACCCCCCCACACACACACACACACATGCGCAGGTCACCATGGCAGCCGGTGCTGGGCTGGGGGGTGGCCGTGTGTAACTCGGAGGAACGAGACTGTGATCTTTGCATACAATTTGTACCCATTTCCTGGTTTTACTTCGGTTGCCCACGTGGCACTGATGGGCCTGTCACCGGCTCCTGTCTGCATTCGGCTGGTGTCTCCTGACATGGTCATCTGGGAGTGCTGCCCCTCACACGCAGCTGCCTGGACCTTGGCTCTGGTGTAGCACTGAACGCATGTGCTCACACCGTGGTGACTCGGGTGTGAACGCGTGTGCTCACACCCTCCATGGTGACCCTGGTGTGAACGCGTGTGCTCACACCCTCCATGGTGACCCTGG